TATATATACCTTTGTAAGGCACTACATTACCTCTGCTGCCCATGGTCTTCAAACCCACCTGTCACCTGCAAACCCCCCAAAAGCAAAGCCAGTCTCCACACAGTATTTCTCAGAAACATTCACCGATTCTTTACTACAGAAGAAATCCATCAAGCCCTTGAAACTTCCTTCAACCAACTCAACGATCCATGCAGTTCACCGAATCACATCCAAGAAAATAGGTTTAACCCTCTCATTTCATGAAAGTTGTCATGACTTCTAAACTAACAGTAGACTTCTTCCTCACCCATGGCTGCTCTCTTAAATTCTACCACTTCAAAGCAAAAAAACCATACCGGAAGCCTCGCCCATCCCCTGCCCTTACCAGTTCACCCCCCAAGCCCATGTTTCACAACATCCAAATGACAACTGCCACCTACCAAAACAATACTACCCAACCTATCACACCAGACCAAGCAACTCAAACTTTGCCCACATTTGAGACAAAAACACAAGACAACCCAAACTACCACCACATCAAGGAAAAAAGGTACCCAGATCCAGCCACCAGTCCTACCAGTAAACAACGATGCACATCAACAAACCAGCAACCTGCCCCTCAGACCGGTTCCACATTCTGCACCCTCCTCATCAAACTCACCCAACCCTCTAGTAATCAACACCTCCTCCGACCCGACATACCTGACAAACCTTTCTGTACTTTCTGCCCACTTACCAAAGAAATTGAGGACTTCATTCCATCACAATCATACCTGAACTTGAACCTGAAGTCCAGTAAATTCGTGGGAAACATTAGAAAAATCCAAAACTCTCTAAACATTAATCAACCCCCAGCACCGGACTTTACTTTGCCTCTCCAACTTATTTCTTCTCGCTAACTGGGCACTTGTAACGGATTGGCTCCTTACCAGTGAAAGTGAGTTTTCTCTGGGTATTCCCGTTTTCCCCCACATCAGATTATAGGCAGAGGATTTATAGATCCCCGCCACCCTGATGGACCATCTGTCTGATATCGGCCGTTCATGTTTATGATATTTACATAGTTTGTTTCTATCAAAATTTCATTCTAGTCATCCCTATCATTCTTTGCTTATACTTCAATTCAAGCCCATATCTCTAATCCATGTGCAGGATGAAGGAGGATTGCTTAATATTCAAGTGCCCCTAATTATTAATTATTTCTTCTGAAATAATTAAGTTCAAATCAAAATCACTAGCAGGAACAGAAATGGTGTCTCATTCACAACTTGTAGTCAAAACATTGAGAGAATAAAGATTTTGTTATAGTATTCATAGTCTCATTGCTACCTCAGTATGCAGTTATCATACCCAAAGCAGAAATAGTACCTTTAGTGCTTACTCAAATCACATGGTTTTCTAAACACAGTCCTTATGCATAGTTAAAAGAATCAACAGCTTCAAAAGTTTGATACCTACTGAAACCACATGGTATTCTGAACACATTCCTTACACGTAGTTGACAGAACCAACAACTTCAAAACTTTGATGCCTAGTCACATTCACATGGTATTCTGAACACAGTCCTTACACACAGTTAACAGAAGCAACAGCTTCAAAACTTTGATGCTCAACTTAAACCACATGGTATTCTGAACACTGTCCTTATACTCAGTTAAGAGAATAAATCAACATTCCAAATCAGTAATGCTTTTCACCCGATTCTGTTACACATGTGTATCTGAAATTCTGAAAGGGACTAGTATGTTCATAAGAATTAAATTTAAACAAAGATTACACCACATTAATTTAAAACACGAGATTTTTGGCTTCTCTTTCACAGCCAATTAAACATTACACAAAAATATAAAACTGAATTTAAAGTACTACATGGTACTCTATTTACTATCTGTATTTATGGTGATAATTTCTGATAGATGGATGAATAAATACTTATTCACACAAATATGATTACTGTTCAATGGATAAATTCATGCTTAAAATTAGATAAATGTTAGTAATACCAAAACACAGAGTAGTGTAACTATACTACCTGTTTGGCTTGGGCTCCCACATGCTTTATGCATGTTGACTCCAAAATGTTTTGGCTGGAAAGGACTTGAGAGGACAGCTTAGGAATAGTGTTAGCTAGAAACATAATTACACATTTTGATACAACTGCATGAGAAACTGGGTTTTAAGAAAGCAAACTGAAACCTAAACTTAAAAATGTTTGACTAACTTTCAAAAAGCTGCAAAATAAATCTTAAACATGTCTATCATCTATAGTTTTCAGTAAACATTAGTGTAATACAAGGTGTCAAGATCATACCACTTTCACGTGTAGAAAGGTGTATCTTAGATGTGGAAGGATGGCAATGAAAAGTGATGATGGTGAAAAAAATTACAACTTTCATTTTTTTTTATGGACTAATAGTGTCTTAATTTACTATCAAAATGACTACACCTTTCATTCAAAGGAAACTGTAAAGAATAGAGTTGAATCTGCTATTGTATACTTTAATCTTTTTCCCATTAACGCAAGAGCAGTCATCATTGTATATGTGAGTATAAAGGAGAGAGAACCACCCTTGTCACAGATGTGCTTCAGTACTCACAAAACCATCCAAGGTCAGACTATCAACACTTAATATAATTAGAATATATATATATATATATATATATATAACATATATCCATGTAGTTTTTATCTTAAGTTAGTTTAACTCAAGAGTAGCAGTACAGTTTTTCTAACATAAAAAATTATATACAATTATTCTCTCAGACATTCAGTTAATAATCCTAATAAAAAAATATCTTTAATGTATTAACGTGTTACACAGGACACTTATTTCCTCTTCAAAGTTTAATCACTTAAATAATTCCACTTTCTGCTTCATGATTATTACACACAAAAAAATATTAAAAAACAAAACCTGTTTAAAGCTCCAAGTTTTTTCAAACTAATTACAGCAATAAATAACAATTTAGAACTGTGTCCTGTCGTTGGCACACACCAAAAATATCTCAAAATAAACGACTACCATATAGTCTCCTTTTTAAACCCCCAAAACAGCAGAATCAGAATAAATTATTAAGGAATAACATAATAGCATTCAAACAGTTAGAAATGGATTAAAAACTTTTATGAAAAGGTTAAAAGTTTTGTGTTCCATTTATAAAACCACAAGAGTTTCAAGTTATAACACAAATTTAGAAATCTGCAACAATTTATCTTCTAACCTATAGATCATAAATTTTGACACTAAGTGCAACAAAGAACATAAAACTTTTTCAACACCCATAACGATGGTTGATAAAAGACAAGAAAAATAACTACATAAGATTTTTTCACATTAATTTAATAGTTTTTGTGGAGAAAAATGCAGGTTTTGTCACAGATTGTGGCTCATTGTGGATTTGGAGGAAGGTTTTTTTAAGCAGCACCAACCCACAACAAAGCAAATTGCTGCATACACACCACCCCAAAAAGGTGCTGAACTCAATGATTTGAAACCTTAATGACAGATGGCACCCAGCTGATGATTGTAGTGTGTGCTTTTACCATCTGTGTGTTTTTGTATCTCCATCTTCTGGTTTTCAGTGACAACTGTGAATAAAATGACAGCAGCAAACATTGCAAAACAGTTTGGAGAGATTACACTGGGGTCAGTTAGGCTAGCATCCCCTTAGGAAACGCCCAAACCATTTGCTACATCAAGTCAAGGAGTTTGCCCTCAAAGTTTTGCAAAAGAGGAGGATAAGAAGCCCAATGAGATGGACCTTGGGACTGATCAATTATAGATCTTGAGTTATGGCTTTGGTCACCAGATATGGAGCAAAAATGTGGTGTTTGTAGTAAGTTATTCAAATTCTTTAAAGGAATAAGAATTATCTTACAAAGTCAGATGAAATGTAATATGGGGATTAAAGCCATCAAGAAGGCAGTGCAAAGACTCACTTGGTAAGTTATCATACATGTTGAAGCAGGAAACAAACCACAGAATCCACATAGATCCTGCTCTTAAGAGCAAGAGAAAAACTAGTTTAGAAAAGCTGAAGGGATGGCAGATATCTATTAAGGATTATGGGAATGAGACTTTAAAGTTCAAAACATGGACCAACATAAAAGGAAAAAAGAAAGGTAAGACCATGAATAGATAAAGAAGGTTGTTTCAGGATTTGAGGGTAGATAAGAGGCTTTTATTTATAGAATATAGCTGAGAATCAGAAAGCTAGGTCAAAAGGAGAGTTTTCACCCTGACCCAACTTTCTGATTCTCAGCTACATTCTATAAACAAACGTTTGTTTGTTTATAGAATGTAGCTGAGAATCAGAAAGCTGGGTCAGGGTGAGTTTGTTTGTTTATAGAATGTAGCTAAGAATGAGAAAACTGGGTCAGGGTGAGAGTTTGTTTGTTTATAGAATGTAGCTGAGAATGAGAAAACTGGGTTAGGGTGAGTTTGTTTGTTTATAGAATGTAGCTGAGAATCAGAAAGTTGGGTCAGGGTGAGAGTTTGTTTGTTTATAGAATGTAGCTGAGAATCAGAAAGTTGGGTCAGACGGAGTTTGTTTGTTTATAGAATGTAGCTGAGAATGAGAAAACTGGGTCAGGGTGAGAGTTTGTCTGTTTACAGAATGTAGCTGAGAATCAGAAAGTTGGGTCAGACGGAGTTTGTTTGTTTATAGAATGTAGCTGAGAATGAGAAAACTGGGTCAGAGTGAGAGTTAGTAGAATTTCACACAAAGATACTCACAGAAGTGACAGACTAGAGAGAATGCAGCTAGTCTACTCCATCCACTGTCAACTCTTGGGCTACTCTTTTACCAGGGAAAATGTGGGATTTATTACCATATTATAATGCCCTCACAGTTGAAAGGATGAGCACATTCAGTGACGGAATTCAAGGTTGCAACCTGTAGATTGCGATTCAAGTGGCCTAACCAACAGGCCATGCCAGGTGCAAGTTGATAGGTATGAAGAAGAAAAGTCAAATAGACATCTAGGTAGGTGTTCACTGAAGACCCATTTACGTTTATGAAGGGCCTCTTCATGCAGAAGACGAGTGGAAAGTTGACTGTTCCAGAAGAAGGAAGGGAGCAACAACCTAATGTTTATTGTGACTCTACGTAAAACCAGAACCTGCCATGGATAAAAGGGCTTGTAAGGCCAACCTGACAAGATCTTGTCTTAATCTCTAGAATGATTAAGTTGGTCAAAGTCCAGCAAATAGTCAGGAAAGCAAGAACCAAGTCAGCAGCAGGTCAAAATAGGATTACCTCCAAGGTTTACAAGTAGCATTCCATCTTAATGAGGATATTTTGGTGAATGTTAGTCAAGGTGTGAGAGCATGGTGCCATACTAGGTGTTGGAGTGTGGTGCAATATTAGGTGTTGGTATGGTGCAAATGAAGTGATGAAATGTATATCCCAGAAGAAAAGAAAGCCACATCAACTTTGCAATGTTGGCCAGTCTCAATGTTGAAAGAAATATCTTCTAGCAAAGAAGTTAACAGCTTACTTATTGGAAAATAGGTTCACAGATACATCCACTCAGAAAGTTGAAGTACCAGGGATTCATGTATATCTGGAGCATGCACCAATGATCTCAAAAATTATTCAAGATGCAAGAAAGGGTATGAAAGACTTACATGTTGTGTGGCTGCAACTCTCAAAGGGGTCAGTTCCACATAAGCCGATCGAGCTAACAATGGACTTATTTTACTTATCTCAAATATCCAACATATTTATTGATTTCAGGAAGTACTTTACAACAAAATCTTTCCAAAAAGATTGGCAGTCACTGGAGTTGGATTTGCAATGGACTGTGCTATCTTACCAATTTTATTTGACATGGAAGTGATAATCCAAGGGGTGCAGTCAGAGGCAAGAAGTATTGAAGGGAGTGAGAGGCAAACTCTATCATCTATCAGAGCATTTATGGATGCTTGACCATCTTTTAGAACAATACTGAAATAACAAGAAAAATATATCAAAATCTATTTGAAGACTTAGTTTTTTGACTGATGATATTATTTCACAAAATATAAAAAAAATTCAAGGAGCAGATATTATTTGAGAGTCGAAAAAAATGCCTCCACCTGTTGATGGTAGGTGAAATCATGAAGTTTCAACAACGTGTCAGATAAGGCCTAACAGTCCCTTCATGTAACTAAGAAGTAAACCTGCCAGTGTGAACCACAATTTCTGTGTATGGAGAAAAAAATTTACTACCAGACCTTTCACCATCAATAAAGTTAGAGGCTCAAAAGCAACCGGGAAAGCTCAAAACATCACACACTCGAAGAATCAACAGAAGAAAAACAAATCAAAGGCAACTTATTCCAAAGTGGTCTCCTTTTCGTTTTTCATAGGTCATATAAAGACTGTGATAAAGTAAGTTGTTTTGTTAGAGCAAAGCAGCTGTAGGCCACCTGCTGCATCCATAAACTTACCATGGACCCACAGGGGGGCTGAAAATCCAACAGACAAAAAGAAGGCACAAGGAAAAAAATGAATCTAAAGTCGATGATCACACTCAAATGCAGCCTCAGAGCCCACCGGAGAACTACCACAGATCCGAACATATGTCTCCATCTCACTACAAATAAGATCACTGAAAGTCTCAACTGAGAGTGACACCTCCCCCTCAATTGCTGTGTGATGCTAGATATCAGAGTGGGAGAGGATACACCCAATTGGCCTCTATGCCGAAAATAAAAATCTGGATATTCATACCATAATCAGCTTGTCAATCGGAAGGAAAAAAAATTTTTTTAATTCTTATTATTATAGTTACAAAATCAACTAGCTAACACAATAACATTAAAAGTATCTCTGAATGATCTTAATAATATTGTGAAACTTGTTAGTGATGCTGTCGAGATAAAGTGATAAAATTATCTGAATGAGGTGCTTATATACAGTACCAGGATAGAGGGTGCATTGACGTAGATGTAGAGTATCACAAGAAAATTATCACCAAGGGCTACTGAGTGGGGTATGAAAGACAACCAAGAAGTTTCACTCAAGTCTCAAGCAACACAGACACAAGAATCACAACCCTCAAATTTGAATACTTTAACATCCAACCATGAGACTCAAAGTTGAATTGCCAAAAAAGACAGACGAACCCAGGCCAAAGAAAAGCCCACTGAAGACTTTTGTAATTTCTGAGGTCAGCCTAGCAGCTTGACTAACCTTCCATCCAGCAAAAAACACTCAAGTTTGACTCCAAGTCCATCTTCAGACCCAAACTGTTCAATACCATGGATTGTACAGACTCCATTAAAGATAATGACCAGCCACCAGCACTATGATTAGCCAAACTGCCAGCACAACTATACCAACAGACCACACCACAACAACGAGTACAACCAAGATTTCTCGAGCATCACATCGGCTTTTCACCCTTGAAGTTTATTTTAAATATGTTTATATTACAAAAGTTTCACTAACACTTGTCTTTTACTTCGTATTTTAGATTTTCACAGACATGGTCAGAGCAATTATTCGGCACCCTGACCGCAAAAGTGGGTTTTCTTGGGGTACTCAGTTTCTCCCCACAGTAAAATTTTTCCTTGAACCTAGGATCCTATGATCCCAACCCTGAAAAGGTGCCATTCCGCATAGTAAACCAAGTTATAGTGAAAGCTATGAAGGATGTGTCACTCTTCTATTGGTCTAATGATGATTACATCATAGGCTGGCACAATACACGTTGTTGACATGTGTGTGTAGGACAGGAGTTTTATTCAAGACTTGTGGAATGTATAGGAAATGACATGGCAGTGCATGCAGGTTAATAGTTTTTTGTGATTATGAGAGGTGAGTAGCATTTCTGGATTTGAAGTTGTAATGATAATAAATAAAAGATTGAAATACAAACAAGCATTTCTCTTTTTTCACATTGTTAATAAAGGATTTAATATCCTGTTACGACAGCGGAAGTCACGCGACACTGGGAGCACGCGCGCTGGAGTTTCTCGAAGGATCATGAATTATCGGGGAGGCCCGAGTTTGTTTGAGGCACCCTCTTTTTTTAATATATAAGCCTGGCAAGAAAAACCAGCAGAGGGCAGAGATAGATTGAAGATATAGATAACTAAGTCAAGTGAACAGTAGGCACCATAAGTAAAGTGTGTGAATCATGTGTGTTTAAAAGTAGTTAAGTTTAACGTACTGATTGGAAATTCTATGTATTACTAAAAGTTGTATCGAGAAAGAATAAACTAGTTTTAATCAAGAAAGGATTTGTATCGCTGAAGTTCCTCGGAAAAAATTTCTACAGGAAATTAACAAACAAGCAGATACGTAACAAATTGGTGTCAGAGAGTGGGACAGAAAAAAAAAAAAGAAGATGGAAACGAGAACAAGAAGATAAATAACAATCCCTTTGAATTAAACTTTCATTTTTGGCAAGCTTTTAAGTTCTAATAACCATAAATAAAAAAACGACAATGTAAACAAGAATTACTGTCCTTGACAAAGAAAATACATCCTTCATTAATTAGGATTTACTTAAGAGATTTCTGTTTTCATTAAATGAAAAGATGATGATACTTACAGAAGTTTCCAAATTCTACAGGTTTTAATGGCAGATTTACATTTTGTGGTTTTGCTTGTTGATAATCAAGATTGTCAAAATAATTAAACTGCTGTTTCTGTAATTCTTGTAGTTGATGCTGTTGATAACTTTCAAATTCTTGTTGCTGATGTTGAAGCTGTTGCTGTAGTTCAGTCTGCCGTGACAAAGTTTGTAATTTTTTTATTTTTTTCTGGAGACTCACGTGTCTCTCCCTTTTAAATTGTGCAATTTGATTTCGAATTACCATTGCAACTATTTTCACATCTTCTTCCATAATTATCCCAGTCATTTGCTGAGAGAGATATAAAAAAATAGTACTAATAAAACATTATTCTTAATATTAATCTATATAATGATAAAAAATAAAAATATTATGATAATGATATAAATTTATTCTATGTAATTTATCACACACATGTATTATTAACTAAATAAATGTAGGAAGAAATTAGTTACTTTTCAACAGACATATATATCAAATTCATAATACACACTATTAATAAAAATTCAACAAAGCAATTAGAACAAAAAATAAACAACTTTGTGATAAAAAGATATATAGACAAAGACTACAATGTACATATATAAGCAAAAAAATAACATGATATTGCAATAAAGAAAAATAATGCTTAAATTTAAAAACCTCTTTTATTTCATTGTTTTTGATTGGATGTGATATGGGACAAAAATAAAGCTATACTTCATAAGCCCTAAAACCAGTGTTACACTTTTCATGGTAGAGAACTCACCATTGCCTGAGCTACTTCATCTGGGTTATCAGTTTCAACATCAAACTCGAACTGAATTGCTTCGTTGTCTTTATGTCTGTCTTTGCGTTTTTTTGGATCCAACACTCTAAGACGCACCTCTACTTTTGTTTCTGTACTAGTTAAACTTTTTTCTCTGTTTACAAACTCAACTTTTACACCAAGTTCCTCTTGAAAGAAATCTAGCTGAAGTAATTCTTTCACAGTTGGCCTAAAGTATTTGTAAAAATAATTGTTTTGATATAGTATCTTAATAACAATAAACACTAGTATACTTGGATTGAAAAATTCCTACATTGAATATCAAATCTCCAAAATTGATTCAACTAACATCAATGATAATCAATAAGAGTAGGCAGAGTTACCTGTAGTTTTGAAAATCATCTGATGGATAAAATATAAGGAGATTAAATCACCAATTAAAATCAAAATAGAGAACAATATTATTACTACACAAAAATCTACTTTATCTTCAGTCTTTCTTACTGTAATTTTACTCTGTCTTATAATATTAATGCAATTAGAAACAATATTAACAAGTTTTTCTATTCTTAAAACCAGAAACAAAAAAAAAAAACAAGAGCAATAACTTGTCTCACCTATCTTCTCTTTTTAGTTGGGTACACTTGCTGATAAGATCTTGCAGTTGAGGATTTTCCACTTTGCTAAAATTTTGGGGCGGAATACCCTGATTAAAAAGAGAGCCATACAGGCTAGAATGAATTACACAGTGCCAAACTGGATTAACTTTTTGCAAGGAACTAAGAAAAAATACTCAAATATCAGTTCATGTTTCTATTCTGGAATTATGAAGTGTAAAGCTCTTAGACTACCGAACTTTCTCTCATGGAAAATTCAAGCAAAAATTACAACACTATTTCATAAATTTTGTTTTTGTTTCTAGTTAAGCACAAAGCTACATCACGAGTATCAAAACCAAGTTTTTAGCACTGTAAGTACACAGACGTACAGCTGAGCCAATGGGAGAGTTATTTAATAAAATCTAATATGTTATCAAAACCTAAGTAACAACATTAATATCATACTTCCCAATTCACAGTTTTTATTATAATGTACGAAAGACATTTTAAATAGTGATACAATAAATAACAAAATCAGATAAAATGTTAAAACAGAATCAAATGTTTGAAGTCAGGAGTCAGCTTGGTTTTCATAAATAAAGAAGACGTAAGCCAACATGGACACTAATGTTATTAGTGTTTGGCTTAACTCTTGATATCTAGTTTTAACTAATTTCATTGATTGTTGCATCTCTATTTAGAATTTCAATTATGTTTACAGAATCATAAATGAAACACCCCTGAACTGCATTTGAATAAACAAATGTCAAACTTACATTAATCACCTTCTTGTAAATTTGAGCAGGCCCAATGCACTCTGAGTATGGGTACTCTGTGGTTGCCATCTCTAGCATGCACATTCCAAAAGCATAAACATCCACTGCCTCATCATAGCGTTCCTCGTACATTTCTGGAGCCATGAACTCTGGCGTACCTTCAAAACACAAAGAAAATGTATAAAAATTGCACTATTAATAAAATTACTATTTTCGTTTAATGCAAATTAATTACTGAATAAAAATATAAATTCTGAACTACTAAACATCACAGCACTAGAAGTGTCTCCTGTCCAATTTCACAGTTTCAAGTCATACCAAGAAAACCTTGGACTAGAGTACTGGAATTTAAAATGAAAGATACTGTCATCATAGACAAAATAACTACTAATTGAAAAGGCAACATTATCAAAACCTGTTTACTACCACAATTTATAACTTTTGATTTTTCTTTTTGCTAAAAGATAAAAGGAAGAAATAAATATATGTGAGAACCATAGAAAAAAGTGTGATTGGTGTGTTTCAAATTACATTTGATAACTGCGATGAAGGTTGTTTTAGCCAACATGATGATCACACATTTCTTTTTACCTTTGACCAATTTTAACCATTTCTTTATATTTTCAAACTGTATCAAGTTGTTGGTGTATTTGTTACATTATCTGTTTCAGTGCCTTAACACATTAAAAACCAAACAAAGAAAATATACTTCATACATCAGACTAATTTGTGATCTACCAAACTCAAAACATACTTTTAATTATGAAAACTGTTTAAGTTCTTTTACTGTTTTTTCATATTAAATTCTTAGTTAATCCATATACTAAGAAAAGCTTTAGAAATACATATTATATATATAAATACCAACAAATATTCTGAAAGAAATTAATTTCTGATTACTACTAAAAAAAAGGTATTTATTAAACACCAATCTTCTTTTAGGCCACCAAAACGTTCTACAGTTATTAAGCAATGGCTTTCTGGTTACTGCCACAAAATATTACAGACATTAATCATTAATATTATGCATGATTACTGCTGAAAGATATTACAGTTACTAAATATCAACTTCCTGGTTACTACTATAAGAAGTCAGAGTCACTAAATTTATCAACTTTCTGATTACTACTACTACAAGATGTTATAGTCTCTAAATAACAACTTCCTGGTTATTACTACAAGATTTTGCAGTAACTAAACATCACAAGCTTCAGCTTCTTAGTTACTACCTCAAGATGTTGAGATGATACCACTAAACATTAACTTTCTGGTTACTACTTACATGTGCAGTTATTAATCCACAAGTTCATGATTTTTATCACAAGATGTTACAGTCATTAATTACTTCAAGTTAACAACTTATAAGTTTACCAAATGAATAAAAAAACTCTTAAAATTCGACATGAAATTTGTACATTTTACCATAATATTTGAATTATTGGGTGTATATTAGACCTGCATATTTTAAGTATTAATTGTAAAATTGGTACTTCTTAGCAAGATATTCAAGGTGTATACAACATTCATATTTTAATAGGATATTTCAACTATTAGGTGTAGGCAACATACGTACATTTTATCAATCTCCTATGGTAACATATGTCTACTTAAACATCTCAAAAAGCCTGGGCAAGAATGGTACTACACACATCGTGAAAGTTAATCCAGTTACAGCTATAATAGTTAGTTAAACATTCCAAAAGCTGATAAAAATGTCATGGTGAATATTGCATACTATCACTATGAGACTAATGTTTTCATACCACTATATTTAGCCTCATGTCCATGTCAACAGTTCTTCCGTAATACACAAGTACAAACAAGAACTGATGATATACCATTTAAACATATCACCCATTGATTTTTGTGCCTTTGGATTATTCCAACAGTTCCTCTGAAATTGTTATCATATGCAATGCATCGTTGATGGACTTTGGAAAGCATGTAAAGATGGGGGACAACATTATCCCCTGCATATTGTGTGAAAGCTCCCTTGGCACTTATTCTTGTGAAGTTATTAAGTTACATCAGATCTTAAACATCTTCCCTGTGTTATAAACACGTTACATACAACTAATATTAGCATATGTATAGAATACAATAAACAATTTAAATGCTATGCATCAAGAAATTAAAAATCAACTTTAGTGGGGTTTCCACACAAGTTTTTTCATTTTAAATACAATATATAAACAGGTCTTAAATTTTTTTCATCTTAGAGAAAAAAAATCCTTACCAATAACACTTTTTGCAAATGACCTATTTTTCAAAGTTGCTAAACCTAAGTCTCCAATCTTTACTGAACCAGTAGTACCAGTTATGAAGATATTGTCACACTTGAGATCTCTGTGGATAATTGGAGGAGATCGAGAGTGAAGAAAGTTCAAGCCCTTCAGAATTTGTCGACACCAGGACTTTAAAACCTTCAGATTGATCTTTATAAATCTACGAAGATAACTAAAAAAAAAATAATGATAACACATGTTAAGTTAGCTTATTTTGTAAATATAAAATGATAATATTTAAAAACCTAATTATCAAGCAATACCTTTCTTAAGCTAAGCTAAAGAAAAATTATTAAGTAACTGATATAGTGAGTGAAATATGGTTACGATTTTCCCAGTTAGCATTTGGCTGGCTAGAATCTTTGTCAGAATGCTCCTCAAACTAAGCTAAAAGTGTAGGGTATCACAGGGTGTTGGTTTGACTGCTCCTGTTGTATTATAATGGCTGCATTTTGCACCCTCTGTAACATAGATATTGTTGACTTTGCCACTAATGCACACAAATTGGTTCATATTCCATTCTGAGCAAGACTGTTGCTCTTACCAGATTGATGAGGTTCGATTTTCTGCACTTTCTGGGCTTCATCATAATTTAGATGGGTAAGAGTCTTCACTAATTTCTTTTTCAGACAATCCCTATGTGCAGCCATTTTTATTCTCCAGTCCATTAGAAAAACAACAGAAAAGTGACATTATATGGAACTCTTCTGCCTACACATGTTGGAGTGAAGAAAGAGGTAAGAACTAGTAGATCCTTATCTGTATAGACTTGACAGGTATTATGGTTTTAAAGTCTAACAAGCCCATTTTCTCATTACCCTCTGCATTTATTCACAACAATTTTAGATTTTGTTTTGGAAGTCTGTAGATCAAATGTTTTTTTAAATGTCTCTTTCTTTCTTGGCTATATGCATGAGAATGAGCTGCCGATTAAAGATAATAGCTTCCATTTCAATTCAAGGAATGCAGCAGTTGTAACAAGAGTGTGATCCGTGGCTGAGTCAGAGTCTCTATCTCTCTACTATCCTTTTGGGGGTATCATTCTTGGCTAGAATACAGATGATATTGTCAGTGCCTCCTTCAATGATCTAACATTCATATTTGAGACTATTTCCAATCATATAAAACTCTAAGTATTAAAGTCACCTGCAATGTGGACTCTTGTGCCCATATTAATGAGAGGATTCAGCAAACTAGTCCACTTCTTTTCTTTGTCATCATGTCACCAGGAAAATACATGTTAAGCAGGATGTATTCCAATAGTTTTCCAATGGTCGTCCTTCTACATTTGTGATTACAGGCATTCTAAAATATTATTTGAATATAATTCCTGTTCATTCTCACTCTGTTTTTATTTACTTTCTTGTCTTTCCCTTATCTTCTAAGTGTCTACCTTGAGGCACATTTGTTATTGTAGAGTCAAGTTATGTGAACTCATAGTTTAATACATTTACTGCTGAGGACGCACATGTATGTGTTTAGCATTCTTTTGAGTGTGCTCATGATGCACACGTGCATTATAAATACAAAAATGTAAAGATTAGATGTTTTAGATTTGTTATTGTTGCTATTTTTTAAATTGAAAACACAAAGATATTGCACTAAAACCCTTATAAGCACTTGTTACGAGTGATGCCAAGAGAATAAGAAATTGTAAATATTGTAACGTTAGTTTATAGCATTAACTTTGGTAACTGATTATAATAAATCTTTTTGAGTTTTGAACTTAAATTAGAATCACATACATATTTTGAGTTTTTCATATAAAACTCTGTTAGCAAATTTTACCTATGTTTTATGCTATGATTTAAAAAAATTATGTTTAATCTTGAAAAATATTTTAATTGTGAACCAACTGTGTGTGTGTGTGTGTGTGTGTGAGCATTAACATGAACTAACCCTTCTTGTTCTGACTTAAATTTTTCAAATAATAATTAGTACTTGACTATGAATATAAAATTATGAGTATAACCAGACATAATTCTCTCTTACACATATTAACCATGTTGTTAAAAACATTTTCTACAACAATATGCAATGTGTAGTACAGAACAAAGTTGTCTGCCTACTACTTCCTTAGTTAATACGTACATTTTTTTTAAAACTATAGATTTTTTCAGAGTTCTTAGCTAAAACACTGTGATTTGCTCAAATAACACTATGTTCTTATATCTATTGTTTCCCTTTCTTTCAACAATAAAAGTTTGGTGGTTTTAATTAAATGTACGTTATTTACTGACATCCAGAAATGGAAAGTAATCTTTCTTTTCAGTGAATCAAACAAGGATTGGAGGCAGCCACACCCTGAAGCTTAACTCTCAGTGGACATAGGTTTTGAATGTGAGGTACATTTTATGTGCAAACTTATCTTTGTTCATGTATTTTGTTTTGGTATATATATATATAAGGCTAGATTTGCTGCTGTAAGTCAGGATTTTTCAGACTTAGACAGAGATATAACTTTTAAACTTCCTTTTCCTTAGTTAAGCTAACTAATACACACGGTATTTGTAGCTTTGGTAAGTATGACTTTTATTTGCAGCAGCTTTTGGATTTAACTTTAACTTGAAAGTTTCAGTTAGAGTGGCTTGTACTGATTTAAACTTGGAAAAATCATTTTATTAGACTGTGGTTTAACCTTTTCTTAAATCTAAATGCAATTTAGATTTTATTTTATTTATATATTAACCTGGGGTTTTTATTTTATTTTTAAGCTTTGAGGTTTTAGTTTAACATATGGGAAAGGAAGAGGATATTGAACTGATCTGAGTTTTCTAAATAGTATTCAACTCACTCTTATCCATTTGACACACACACAAATAAGCAGTTGCTCCTGTTTAGATTTTTGTATTATATTGTGATCATGTTTTTAATAAATAAATATTTCTTTATTTGTCAGACTATCTATGTTGAATCTCTTCTTCTCAATAATACCAGTTATGGATTGGAGAAAGCATTATACTTCACAGTCTGGTATTCTCCAAACCTCCAGTTAGTAGGCCTAACCGACAGCTGTGTGGGAATACCACAAATGTAGTAAATGATGAAAAATATTTCATATTTAAAGAAATATTTACAACATTATATTTCTTATACAATCAATAAATAATTGTCTATGGCAAATACCCACTATTAAGTTTCTTTCCTGCATTGTTATTTAATATGTATGTTTACAGTGTTATGCTGTGAGACTAATGCTTACGTTTTAAGTGTTCCTGATGTCATTAGTTCTGTGATAAGGACCAAATATTTCTTCTTTGGCAGATTAACTTCCCAAAAGTCATAAAAGCGTACAATATTTGGATGCTGGAGCCCTTTTAGCATTTCTACTTCTTCTCGAAATCTTTGGCGGGTACTCTTCTTTAGTCGTTCCTAATAACAGAAACAACCTTTTAGTTCAGAAAAAGGCATGATAGTAGAATTGTGAGTAAGTTTACCTTGATTATCATTTAAAACTTTGATTTTTAACATATTGAATAAATTTTGTCATTTATTAGATTTGCATCATACTTGGTTTATATGTAAAACATATCTACAAATCATGCAAGTTTGCTCAAGAAACCTTTCAAAACCATTAATGCAGTATGTATTGAAAGCTTCATTCCTCACACAAATTACTATTTAATTACTTCTGTAACGTTATTACAGTAGCAGTAATTGGAAAACATAGAGAATTAAAAACTGGTAATTAGAAAAAACAAAACCAATCACCCAAGTGATTTCAGAAGATTTTCCAAACATCTTAAAGTACTCAGTACTTGGAAGTATCCATCTATAAACAAACTAATAATTAGCTCAGGTAAGTTTCATCATCAAAAATTGAACATGTACAACTGAGTTAATAAATATACCTTAAAATACTACACAGCAAAATTGAGCCTACAAATTCTTCTTGAGTAAGCCACACAGCTAAGCATCAACAAATGTGAGCCAATAAATGCTACATTAAAAACCCATGCAGCAAAACCTTAGAAAATCTAAAACAATGAATGCATTTTGAACAAGCAAATATATGCCAATTAATGTACTTTTACTACAAAAAATTTGTTTCTCCTTTAAAAAATTCAACTGCACTCCTTGGAAAACTTTGATAGATTCTGACAACTGTTGTAGGAGAACAAGATCTTCACAGTCTTTTATTTTTGTACGATGAGATTTCAGTCAGCTCTCATTTTCTTCTTCTTATCATACTAAATCACTTTAATAACCAGTCTTCTCATAGTGTTAAATGCCCATAAATCTATTGAATCCCTTTATTAAACAAAAAATAAAAACATATAACAGTACAACTTTCTGCCGGTTACATCTGATACTCTCCATCTACAACTCATTTTGAAGTAGAATGAATAGCATCTAAATTAAGTACTTGTTAAATAATACGTTAAAAAAAAAAGAGTAAAAAATCAATTCCATAAAAAAATATTACTAACAGCAAAGTACCCAACTGTTACGTATCTGCTTGTATGTTTGTTTCTGGTAGAAACTCTTTCCGAGGATCTTCAGTGATACAAGTCCTTTCTTGATTAAACCAGTTTATTCTTCCTCGATACAAACTTTTAGTACACATTAGTTCCGCAATCAGTACGTTTCTCATCACTTTAATCTTAACAACTTTTATAATACACGCTATAAATCACAGCGATTCACAATCTTGATAACTTCGCTCTTGGTGAGTGCAAAACACACACTTTATGGCTCACTAGCTCAAAACTAACAGAATCTTGCCACTGTTGCTGACTTTCCTGTAGTTGCTGCTGACTTTCCCACAACTGTTGGAGACTTCCTTCCTGTTTTCTCGTTCTTCTTGTTTCCTTTCCTGTTCCAGTTGCCACTGGTGCTGGTTTTCTTGCCACTGCTGTAGTCTCTCTTCTTGTTTATTTTCTCGTTCTTCTTTTTTCTTTTGCTGTTCTTGTATTGCTGCCATCAAATCTGCTAAGCTGTAGTTTGATTTGCCACTTCTCGTTTCCATCTTTCTTTTTTTTCGTCCCACTCTCTGACACCAATTTGTTACGTATCTGCTTGTTTGTTTGTTTCTGGTAGAAGCTCTTTCCAAGGATCTTCAGTGATACAAGTCCTTCCTTGATTAAACCAGTTTATTCTTCCTCGATACAAACTTTTAGTACATAGTAGTTCCACAATCAGTACGTTTCTCGTCACTTTATTCTTAACAACTTTTATAATACACGCTATAAATCACAGCGATTCACAATCTCAATAACTTCGCTCTTGGCGAGTGCAAAACACACAATTTACGGCTCACTAGCTCGAAACTAACAGAATCATAAATTACATTGAATTCAAAGTAACTACTGCTCTCTCTTCATTCACCTTCCGCTGGCTATACCTATACTTATACTCTGGGTGGTAATTTTGGTTACGTCCTTTCAACCTCAACGTGTTTGAGGACAACCAGGGTGTTCATAAGCTTATTCCGCTTCTCTTCAACCCCATGCTTGGTGATGGATGTACATATTCATATGTACATATGTGAGTATCATAGTTTGTCCTGGATTTGGTTTGACCAGGTCTGGAGCATACATTAAGCTTAGAAAATCAGGCAGCGGCACCTTCGAGGATGCATCGGGTGAGATAAAGCACTAGGGCTAAAAATTTTGGGTTGGGGAGGAGACCATCTGTCGGTCCTTTTCAGGGCTAGGAAGAGGGCTGTGGTCCAATTCTCAGAATTTTGCTTTCACTGCCAGGCTTTTATATACTAACGAAGAGGGCATCTCGAACACACTCGGACTTCCCCGATCATTCGAGAAACTGATCACGCACGCCACCAGCGCTAACGCGCCAGCAGAATCACGTGACTTCCGCTATCGTAACACAACTAATGAAACAATCATTACAATTAAGGTTGTACGAACATTATATTAAAATAGCTATATTCATTACTAAGTTGATATTTAGTTCTGATCCATGTAGGTAGTTTGCTTTGATTAATATTAAATACAAAAATAAGAGGACATATAGTCTCAAACACTGACATGCTAATGGAAAATATAAGGCAGGTTAATAAACAGATAACACAACTCAACAAGTGGTTATATTGTAAAACGCAAATTGTTTAAAAAACAAACTACTAAACACAACAGAAGTTTGTGAAACGAGAATATATTAGCACTCTACACAGCTTTCTTGGGAAAACAGCCCAAAATTATTTGCTTAGCCTTTCCTGTATGCGTAAACAAGAAAGTTTTTAATGTAACCATTAGCCACTAGATGGCAGCGAATTCGTGTACTTCGCAGTCCTTCAACTTATTGGCCTGTTATTGAAAAACTGTAACCTGTTATTCCTTCATTTGTAGAAGTTACTCTCGTTAACAGTGCGTTATATGTAAATATATTAATTGTACATTGTTATAAAGTATTGCTTTAGTTACTTAACAATGCCTACAGTACGCGATAAATATAAACGTTTAATTTGATAGTACTGTCACGTTAATTACCAGAGATAAATGGCGTCAAAAGTGTATAAAAACATTAATACACTAACATAACAAACACAATTTCCAGGAAAGGATGCCGAAGGCCGCCTAGAGGGGTCACCTGTTGTAACCTCTCACAGTAATGTGTTGTCTGTCTGTCAGTCATTTCGAAGACAAATGACGTCACAAAAGGGACGCAAACGTTGCAATTTGTACTGTCGGTG